GAAATAAATAATAACTTTATTATTGCCTCTAGGGCATATTTCCTTCAGTATCTCCCCCCTCTTCCCCCTGATTCTACCCAGCACCCGCGCCTGCCATATTCCTCACCACAGAGACAAAAGAAGGCTTGCCGGATTTCTGAGACCACAGATCACGAGAGAAGTTAAACTGCTTTGGCTCAATCAGATGATCAGAAGAGCCCACCGGATAGCAATCTTTGGCAGTGAATTCCCCTGTGGCAAACAGATCACGGCGGACCCAGACCAGATTGGAATTCTACCGCTGGCGCTGGATTTGGGGACGATGATGAACCCTAACCCTAGCCACCAGGGGATCGGGGCTACAACGAAAGGAAGGCTCACTAGCGCTCCGCGTCTTATAAGGCAATCGCAGACCTGAACTAACGGCTGTGATCTCAGGCAGGTCCATCCAACGGTCACCCTTACCAGCGAGGCTGACCGCAGGGGCCCTCCTTCCTCTCACCCGCCTCTGCTCTCCCCCCACTCTGTTGGGAGGCAGAACCACAAACGGCGGCGGAGACGGCGATCTCCGGCGGTGCCCAGACAAATCAACTCTACAATTGGACTCCACTCTAACTTGCCCACAACAACTGAATTAGAAACTGCATAAGACGTACCCGAATCGCAAGGAGAAGCTGCTCCAATGGCGGATATCACACCTCGACCCGGAACAATCTCCATCTCCTGCGTTGGACTCGCGAGCAGGATACCGCCTCCTCCGCAGCCCAGGCTAAGATCGGGTCGGGGGTGATAGGCCGCCCTAGCACGAAGATGCTCTCTCACTCCATCTCCGTGGTTCTGGACATCGCTCGCAATGCCAAATTCATCCTCGCAGTCGCCACTTCGCGATTTGTAACCCCCACCCTCCTCGCTGCACGCGTCGCTGCCCTTTCTCGGCGCAAGAGCTCTGCCATCAGCTCCTGGATCTCCTGGTCCGTCGCACCTTCGCCTCCCGAGTCCATCAGTGGACCTCAGGATCGACAGAGCGCAACGCTGCCCTCCCTAGATCTGGTTGGAGACTTTCGAATCACCAGGCCAAGCCCTGCTCCCGTATTCGGGTAGGGCTCACCGCGTGGTGATGCGCAGCCGTCACCTATCGCCGGAGAATGGAGAGGGGCGCCGCCGGAGAGGTCAACGCCGTGCGGTGGCCTGGTGGTGGGGGCGGGAGTGGGGGTGGAACGCGAGAGCGAGCGAGCGGTCATGAGCGAGAGGCCCCGTTAGATCTTAGGTCATGTTTTGTTTAATGTTTTGTCTAGATGGAATTGGATGGCACTGTTCGCTAGAGTGGACAATTGTAGTTCATATTTGAGCTAATAGCATCACAGGTCCCCAAACTTGTCATGAAGGTGATAGTTTGGTCCTTAAACTTGAAAAAGCTGATATTTCATCCTTCAACTTGTCATGAAGGTGCAAGTTTGGTCCTGATCCAATCAGAACTCGCCAAGTGGAGCCAGCTTGGCTGTGCCGGTCAATGCCGTGCATTTTGCAGTTTATCCCCCGCCTTTAGCCCTTATCAATGCACATGTTTAATTTCTTCTACATTGTTATAAGGGCCAAAAAAATCAATGCACATGCTAATCAATGCACATGTTAAATGCTTGCAAAGAGGGCAAGAATGTCTACAGGGGTGCAGCTTCTTTTCTCTTAACGACGGATGAGATGTCTCTTGAATTCAACCGGACGGCCCAGATTGGCCATCTGCATTTGCAAGGAAAGGTGAGAGCTGCAGGTGTTACTGAAGAAGGCGAGATGGATGGACATCCTGGTTCCTTTTTCTCAATTTCGTTCGACAAGATTGATGCATCAGTTTTCAGCAGTCCAATAAATTGTCTTGATAGTGCAATGCAACGTGTACATGTACAAGGCCTGATTCGCTCCCACTCGACCACTCCTGTGCAAGACCATACCCGCTATTCAACACATCACACCAAGAATCAATCCCAGAAAAAATTTGGGTTCCTGGTAGGTGCAGAAGGAAGAAACAAATTACAAAAGAGCACTACAAGGCAGAGGCAGGGGCTAGCTAAGCTAGCCATGGAATATCTGGACTCATAGCTCTGCAATCATGGAGTAGGCACTTGGACCCTCACAAGTCTTCCAAAAGACGGCGCTTTGCATGCCCGTAGTTTAGTTCCGCCATCCTTTCGATTTCAGCATGCCTGTCGGCAGATCCAGCCATCTCCTCGCAGCCGCCTATTCGGACAGGAGAACGTCTAGCAGTATGGTGGCCAAAGCCAAATCACCCCACCAGTTACATTGTTTCAGCGCATGCTCGGGATCAGCGACGCCATCATGCCATGAGCTTCATTCACCAATGGATCCATCTCATCAGGGGTGGAGCCAGGATTTGGGGATGAGGGGGGCGGAGGAGATAAGGATCGTACATACTGAATTTTTTCCTCAAACACTTCTAAGTGTGTGTGGTTTTGTATTGGAAGACAATTTTGAAGATAAACATCATAATATATCATGACTAACAATACCATTGAGATAAAAAATGGCATTGTATTTTTGGCAATGTACAAATGGCATCATTTCAATGGGATTACTTTTTCATTTTTTTGCAAAAAAAACGAGGCGGTTTTTGAAGAAAGAGCACGCACAGTCCTCTTCTTCACTGTTTGGTCGATGACAGCGGGCCCTGCGCCACGCTGGTATGCCTCGTCAGCGTTGCGGTCGTATACAAATGCGATTGGCATCGTATTTGCACGCCCGAGTCAAGTTTTTGCACCACTTCGATGTACGCCATAAATTCTAGCACTAAAGTGATCATTTGCGCAAAGTTCTAACACCACCAGTGTAATTGACTCAAAATTAAACAATGAGATTATATATAGCTTTGTAACTAGCTACCAAGCTGATCGAAAAATAAGATAATCTCATTAGGCTGAACTTTGCAGTTATATATTTTTCAGCATAGCAAAGTATTATTTCAGAAATCATCTCAGATGAATGAAACACACATCTAATTTGTAAAAAAAGAAATTGACAATCACATCTAATTTGTAAATTAATCAATTGTGTCTTTACATACAGATTTAAGTTAGACAGTTAATTTAACTATATGTTATGCAATCTATGAGAAAAATGACCATGTGGTACCTTCAGACTTGAGCGTTTGAGGTATGAGGTGATCGATGGAGTCTCGGACTCGATGGCAAGGCACACTGATCGTCATGCGGGAGGATCTATACATGGAGACACGACTGGACTGGCTAGCATGGCAGTGCGGCGATGTCGTCAGTCGCGGATGCTAGTAACTGATGGCGATCAGCGATGGTGCCGTAGCGGCGATCGGCTGCTGGCGATTAGCATTGCAGCCAGCGGCGGGCGGCGGCAGGCGCAAATTGGATGATCGATCTGAAACTGGGCTTTGTGTTGGGCTTCAGCACATCTAGCGCATTACACACACACGCAAGGAAGTTTTGTAATGTACTAGTACAAAGTAGTAACAAATCAAAGGATCTACAGCGCTAAACTAAAGGATATACGGGCATTTTACCCTAGCATATTTGCACGTTTTGTTGAGGGGCTAGACCCCCCTGTCTCCACCCCTGCATCTCATGATGCAAAAACTCCTCCAGATGTAAAAAAGTCAGTTAACCATGTGTGTTCTTCTTCTCACTACTGTTGTTTCACGAACACCCTGGGAATGAAATCCTGGAACCTCCTCGAGTAGAGCTTGGGATCCACAGCAGAAATGCAGCCAGGGTTGACCGGGAAAGACTTGCAGGCGTGCTCCAGCTTCTTGGTTATGTTGTAGTCTTGCAGGATGTCGATTATCCCGAAGAAGAGGTAGACATCACACTGTCCCCCGCTCGGCGCGGCTATGAACAGGTGTCTCTCGTTCAGAAGGAACTTGTCAAGCTGCGCTCCGCCTGGGTGGGCATGTTCATGCCCAGCTGCACAAATGGCCTCCTGCGGGTTGATAAGGGCTAAAGGCAGGGGCAAACTGCAAAATGCGTGGCGCTGACCAGCCTGGCCGAGATGGCTCCACTTGGCGAGTTTTGATTGGACTAGGACCAAACTTGCACCTCCATGACAAGTTGAAGGATGAAATAATCAGCTTTTTCAAGTTTAAGGACCAAACCATCACCTCCATGACAAGTTCAGGGACCTGTGGTGCTATTACCTCTTCATATTTTGGTCTTTTTAGTTCTTTAGTCGGCAAAGCATGTTCAACTTTGTCGGGAAGCTAGTGAGGTAAGGTCTCCTTGGTCCTGTTTGGCTGGATATGGGATGGTTCTCTAGCCCCTTCACCGCCTTAAACCCGGAGACATGATTTGATCCTCGATTCGTTGTCACCAAACTCCCACCATCAACTTCATGGTCGTTGCGTCAACAAAGGTACCTTGGCTCGAAGAGTGTTCTAAAGTTCTAGAGGTGGTATTGAACTTTGCTAGGTGCGTCGTCAAGAAGTGCAGGAGAAAGACAACATCGACATACCTAAGGACATGTTTTTTTTTATTTTCTACTCCCTCCGTTCCTAAATGTAAGACGTTTTTGGCTGTTTAATATAGGTAGTACGTGCATTTTAAGAATGTTCTTAGACAATTTTAATATGTATATATAGCTTGGCCTTCTTGCAAAGAAAATAGCTTTATCTATGTTTCAAAAAAGAAATAGCTTTATCTGAATTAGGCACTTATTATCAGGTTGTCCTTAACCCGTTCCTGAAAAAGGGTTATCCTTAACCTGAGGCAACCCACATAGCTCGGAGCACCTGCAACGTGTTTGGTGGAAGCCACGACCCGCCCCGCAGATCCAACGGTCCCAAACCGCTCCACCTCATCCCGCACGAATCTCGAGGGCCCCAAACCGCCACGAGACAAACGCCTCTCCAATTCAAACGGTGGCGGGCAATCCTCTGGCCCCCCTTCTCCTTCTCTCTCATCCAAATCCCCAATTGGACGGGGCGAAGCAGCGAGGTCGCCGTCCGCCATTGCTCTCCCGCCTCCCCCTTCCCCTCTCCCAAGGTCGCGATGGGCGCGGTGGCGCGCCCGGAGCCGGCCCAGCGGAGCGCGCCGATGCGGCTGTGCGTGCACGTGCTGGAGGCGCGGGGGCTCCCGGCCATCTACCTCAACGGCTCCAGCGACCCCTACGTGCGCCTGCAGCTCGGGAGGCGGCGGGCCAAGACGACGGTGGTCAAGCGGAGCCTCAGCCCCGTCTGGGACGAGGAGTTCGGCTTCCTCGTCGCGGACGTTGCCGAGGACCTCGTCGTCTCCGTGCTCAACGAGAACAGGTTCTTCAGCACCGACTTCCTCGGCCGCGTCAAGGTGCCGCTCTCCGCCATCCTGGAGACGGAGGACCACTCGCTCGCCACCGCCTGGTACCAGCTCCAGCCCAAGAGCAGCAAGTTCAGGAGCAAAAAACGCGGTACGTAGGTACAACCTTCATTCGTTCGTTCGTCGCATTTCGCAAACCCGCCATGTTTGATTGCTTTAGATGTTTCCGAGATAGATGCTTTACTGAAGATGAGATTGCAAGCCTGAAATGTACTCCCTCCGTTTGGAATTACTTGTCACAGAAATGGATGTATCTAGACATATTTTAGTTCTAGATACATCCATTTTCGAGACAAGTAATTCCGAACGGAGGGAGTAGTCAAGATAAATAAATGTAATAATTAAGCTACCTACCGAATTGAGCATCCTGTCCTGTTTACATGTGGGTGAAAGGGAGTGCCCCATCCCCATGTGCTGTTCAAATTGGGTGTCAGGGGTTTTAGAAGTAGGAAATTTCTCCGAGAAGTTTGCTAAGGTATACGTACACTCCTCCTTTTCTAAAAAAACGTACATGTTCATGGAATTTTGAGGAGTCTCAATCCACTGAATTTGCATCGGGCCAAGAACTAACTGAATTTATACATTCACAAGTATTAGCTGCTATTCCGCAAAATGCTTTTATGATAAGGTCAGTTGAAAGTCGCTGGTAAGTTATAGCTGAACCTAAAGGCTAAAAGTAAGCATTGCTCACTATTTTTTTAATTTTGCAGGTGAAATTTGCCTGAAGATATACCTATCGGTTAGGGAAGGCCACTGCAATGAGTCGCAAAACATTCTGATGCAACTTATCAACGATACGCCGTGCAGCTCAACTAGGTCAATTGAAACTAACGAGTCCTCCTTATCAGCAGTTGCTAGCAGCCTGGATCAATCAGCCTGCGCTAGCATGGACCGTGCATTCTACCGTAGTGGTGTGGATCAGTTGACCCAAAGCAACACGGACCAAAAAGTCCCGAGCAGCCTACCTTGTGGCACCACACAGCAAGCAGTTATTCTGGAGCCTGAAGAGGATGACGGCGATGCTACCGGCAATGCATCATCAGTAGTGGAGGTCTTGGCTCGATACTTCCGTAAAGCTGCTGATGCCGGACCTTCTCTAACATCAGACCCCGATCCCATAGATCAGTTTCAAGAAACAGAAATAGCTGGATCCTCTGAAAATGGCAAGAACGGCATGCCCGAAGTTAATCTTGATGAACTACTGAAAACTATGGAGTCTAAAGATCAAGGTGGTGCAATGCCAGGAAACTTACCTGGTGGCGTTCTGCTGGAGCAATCTTACATTATTAAACCAGCTGAATTGAATGCCATGCTGTTTTCAGCGAATTCAGATTTCTGGCCAGCAGTTGCAGAAGTTCAAGGACTAAGTGGGTTTCAAATTGATCCCTGGAAATATGAGAATAACGAAAATTCTGTGAAAAGGACATTAACTTACACAAAAGCTGCAAGCAAATTAGTCAAGGCTGTAAAAGCTACAGAAAAGCAGACATACTTGAAGGCAGCTGGAAATTCGTTTGCTGTGCTTTCTAGTGTTAGTACTCCTGAAGTTCCCTGCGGTAATTGTTTCAAGGTGGAGATATTGTACTGTATAATACCAGGTACCCCAGTGCAATCTAAAGAACAAACCTCACAGCTGACTATAAGTTGGCGCCTCAACTTTGTTCAGAGCACAATGCTGAAAGGAATGATTGAGAATGGGACAAGGCAAGGCCTCAGAGAAGGATATGCACAGTTCACTGAATTGCTTTCCAAGAAAATCAAAGTAGCTGAGCTAGATGACACTAAATCGAGCAAAGACAAGATTCTAGCTTCACTGCAGACTCATGAACAATCCAACTGGAAGCTGGTTGCCCGCTTCCTTGGGAGCTTTGCATTCATATTCTCATTTACTGTTGCAGTGTATGGCATTGCACACCTTCGTTTAGTCAAGCCCAGTAAAATGGTGCATGGAGGGCTTGAATATTTTGGTATTGATCTTCCAGATTCAATTGGGGAGGTTGTATTTTGTGCTCTTTTGATTCTTCAGGGGAAGAATATCTTCAAAGTAGGTCAACGTTTTTTGCAGGCCTGGAGAAAACGTGGTAATTATTTCTCTTTATCCAAAAAATGTAGTACATATGTATCTATTGATAGACACACTTTTTATTCTGTAAATATTAATTCAGGACGAGTGAATATTATGCTTTCCTCATCCCTCTCTAACTACTCTTTTTCTAGAATTGCTTCAATTGTTGAGATGATTTAATAAACACAATTTGTTCATCTTAAGAACTATACTTTCATTCCCTTCATTGCTACTCATATATCTCCACTCCTTTCCTTGGGAATAAACTGTAAGCACATGTAAATCTTTGCCCTTCCAATATTAGGCAGCGATCATGGGGTCAAAGCTCATGGTGATGGCTGGTTGCTGACTGTTGCACTTATTGAGGGAAGCGGCATAGTAGGTGCAGGCACACCAGGCTTGGCTGATCCTTATGTAGTTTTTATGTGCAATGGGAAGAGGAAAACTAGCTCAGTTAAGTTCCAGACATCAGAACCAAAATGGAATGGTAAGTTTGTCGAACTGGAAAGACCAACGTATGACCTTCTCAGAGCATTTGCTGATACCATGGTCTTTTTAACTCTCTAGAGATATTTGAATTTGATGCAATGGATGATCCCCCATCAAGGTTGGACGTGGTTGTGCATGATTCAGATGGACCACTCGATGATAATGCTATTGGTCGCACAGAAATAAATTTTGTGAAAAACAATTTGTCAGATTTGGATGATACATGGCTTCCTCTCGATGGAAGGTTTGCCCAAGGATCTGAGCCCAAGTTACATTTAAGAATTTTTTTGAACAACTCACGTGGGACTGAAGTTGTTATGAATTATCTGGAAAAGATGGGGAAAGAAGTCGGCAAGAAGGTATGAGTTGGCTAACATATGATTAATTGTCATTTTCAGCACAAAGTATTTACTGAAGTTGCGTATGACTGAATGTTCAGATGCCCTTGAGGTCCTCTCAGACAAATTCATCATTCCGTAAGCTCTTTAGCCTTCCTCCAGAAGAATTTCTTATTGATGATTTCACCTGCCACCTAAAAAGGAAAATGCCACTTCAGGTAATTAGGTGTGTTGAGTTGAATTCACGTTTACTCTCACTGTTCCAAATTATTTGAAGTTCTTTTTTTCGCGAATACGCAAAGCTTGCATATCATTTCATTGATAGAAGTTAATAGTGAATACAAGTGGTGGTACAACACATGTCACGAACATAGCAGGTGTCGACATGGTGCCCGGAGCAGAGAGACATGGGATGCTCGGCCATGACACGAACGCAGAAGAATTATTTGAAGTTCTATCTTTGTCTTAAATCAAACTTTTCTATATTTTACCAAGTCTATATATAATGTGCTAATATCTTCAAATCAAATATACTCCCTCCGTTTCTCTTTAGTCTGCATATAAAATTTGTCTAAAGTCATGAACTTTGACCAACTCTATAGGAAAAAATTATGAACATTCACAATACGAAATCAATATCATTAGGTGCATCATGAAATTAATTTTCATACTATATAACTTTAGTATTGTAAATGTTGATATATTTAATATAAATTTGGTCAAACTTTGCATAGTTTGACTTCAAACAGACCATATATGCGGAGTAAAAAGAAACGGAGGGAGTATCTAAGTACGAAAAATATTTTATGATGAATATAATGAAACTAATTTGGAGTTGTAGACGTTGATATATTTTTCTGGACTTGGTCAAACTTAAAGAAGGTTGACTTAGGACAAAGCTAGAAAATCAATCGAGAAACTGAACATTGTATTTTTTTTTTTTGCAGGGGCGCCTCTTTCTTTCCCCAAGAATAATTGGATTTTATTCCAATATATTTGGGCGGAAAACCAAGTTTTTCTTTCTTTGGGAAGACATTGATGATATCCAGGTTGTTCCACCGTCTCTTTCAACAGTTGGCAGTCCATCCTTGATGATCATCCTCCAGAAGGACAGAGGTCTAGAAGCCAGGCATGGTGCCAAAACACAGGATCCTCAAGGAAGACTGAGGTTCCATTTCCAAACATTTGTCTCATTCAACGATGCTCACAGGTGTTTTCTTTTCCCTTTTTCCTTTTGCCATTTGTTTTTATTTCTTTCGTGTCTACAGAGTTCAAACAAGACATTTCCAATGACATTCGTGAAGGTCTGGGCAAAAAAAAAAAACGATTCTCCAAAAAGACTATTTTTGAAAGCATTTTGGAGCACTGATTTTGTTATTTTCGTCCAGACCTCCAGGAATGAGATTTCATCACGACAATTTGCACACAGGCAGAAAACTCAGCAATGTTTGTTGTAAAAAAGAAACATTATTTTTGAATTTTATTTCTGCTTTTCGTATTTTTAGTGTTCATAGCTGGAGCATTTTGAGCTCAGGATTAGAAGGACACTTTCGTCCACACGACTACTACTCCCCAAATTGTATGAGCATATGCGCACACACACAATAGAAAGACACTCCCTCCATCTAGAAATGTAGGTCATTCAACTTGTTTGAAGTCTTTCATGCAAGACTTCAGACAACATTTTTCTGAACATGACAGGATATGAAAAATAAGAACAAAACAGAAAAGAATTTGCAAGAAAAATCTAAAGCAATCTTTTCATGCAGTGGATCTTTGCATTCTTCATACACTTTAGATGGCATGACAACTTAAATGTCTAGACAGAGGGATTAATTGGTATCAGGCTATCCTACACACATTTTCACAATAACACAGCATGCATACTAATATCTTGCTATACTTCTGTTAAGATGGCACTTTGGAAAATCTGACGTCTAGCAGAGTTATTATGGCACTTTTTTAACTCCTATTCTCCCATTTCAATTTTCCACCAATTTCTCTTATCAAGTAGTTGATGATATATACCAATCTGATGTCTAACAGAGTTATTATGGCACTTTGGAAAACACGGTCATCGGGTCTAGAACAAAAGGGAGAGACGACCGACAAAGAACCTGAACCAAAACAGCTCCCCAATGAAGAAGTTTCTCTGTTGGGCAACGAAGACGTAAAAATGTCAGAAGTCTACTCGGCTGTTCTTTCTGTTGATGTGGGCCTTGCTCTCTCTCAATGAACGCATGTTTGGCACCTTGTATAATGCACTTGTAAAAGCATCTGTTTAAACCTCTTCGATTATGTACTCACAGGTCAATGCCTTGATGGAGATGTTCTCCGGAGGTCCACTGGAACACAAGGTGATGCAGAAGGCTGGTTGTGTTGACTACTCACCAACAGAATGGGAGCCAGTAAACCGAAACATATACCAGAGGCAGATCAGCTTTAGGCTATCAAAATATGGAGGAGAAGCGACAACCAAGCAACAAAAATATAACTTACAGAATCGAGACGGGTGGGTCCTTGAGGAGGTCATGACCCTCCAAGGCGTCCTGCATGAAGACTATTCGAGTGTGAGATAACTTAGACAGTCAAGACTGGATCTGATGAAAATGCTTGCATGTTTAATATCATATTGCAGGATCATGACATTCTTTCTCTTCCAAAATTGCAGATCCAGCTCAAGTACCATATGATGAGCACGGCGTTGAAACCAAACTCATGTAGCATTCAGGTGATGTTAGGGATTGTCTGGTTGAAGGGCACTAGGCACCAAAAGAAGGCTACAAAGAATGTCATGTCGAATTCCACCAACAGGCTGAAGGAAATATTCTCAGAAGTCGAAAAGGAGCTTTCATCCAGAAAAGGTACCCGTTTCAGCACAACAGATTGATTCTTCCCGGTAGCAAATTGCTGAAACGAGCCTGGGCTCAATTCGACAGAAATGCTGCTGCTGCTCTGATGAAAAATAATCTTTCAGTGCTGACTAGTACTTCTGCAATGTTGTTCCAGGTGTGAGTTAACGCCGGTGCAGAACAGCGAATAGATTGTTTGATTCTGTCGCTCAATTAAGATTAAAAGAAGACACCAAAGATCAGCAGTCATGATGATCATAACATAGTTCGGCGCAGCAGCATCACTGCCTGCTTCGCCCCTTTGCTCAGCCCAGATTTTTTGCACAGATGGCCAGCATATCAACTGACATGGATATGTTTTCTCCTCACACGCGCATTTGATCAATCTGATGTTACCTTGATAGGAACTCAAGCAGAGCTGTGTATACACAATGAACTTACACCACAAGATTACATGAATGGAATATAGACTTCTTACAGAGTCTTGTGATACACTAACATGCATGCCGGTCATTATCCCCATACAGAGATTGGAGAGTGTATATGTACATGTGCCAACTATAAATAGAAAAGAAAATTAGTATACTACATATATAGTACCAGAATGACAGAACTCAATTTCGTACGACCATCAAGCTGAACACCAAATGAGCAGTGCATTAAGGAGAACTACAGGAAACTGGTACACTGATGCCAATCATTTAAATTGGCACTATTGCAAGATGGCTATTGCTACATGAAGCATATAAATATGTGGCACAAACAGAAAAAAGAAATTCCATGGCAGAGAGGAAAAAAGAATGGTATTTATTTTTTAGAGGACAAGTAGGCATTTCAGCAAAGAAGTTTTCTGCCATCCAAACTTCTGATTCTGGCTCAAAGGCCAGTTACAAAGCCAAGGGGGAATACAAAATGCCAATTGAAATACAAGCATCAGCAATTCGATTCAACATAAGAATAGTCTACAACGCTGCTGTAGGTTCTTCAATCTTCATCTTATAGAAGAGGTCGAGAACATCTGCGTGGTTTTGGACACTTCCAGGAGATACCAAGAGCAGCTGCCGGGCAATTTCATGCCTCCCCTCTTTGAACAGACCTTGAAACAAGCGCATGTAAACTGTTCTTGATGGGAACTCCTCTGAAGACATTGCGTTTAGCAGACCCAGGGCATCGTCCACAGTACCAGATTTCAAAATGTGTGTGATAAATGGATTGATATAAGGCGGAAATCCATTACTTTTCATTAAACCTAGCACATCAAATGCTTCTTTAAGATGCCCTTGGCGGATCAACTTGTGGATCAAATACTTGTAGGTACTTTGCCAAGGAACCACATCCTTTTCCAACACCAGGTCCTTCAGAACTTTGAACGCTTCCTTTGCTTCTTTCTTCCTGCACAGCCCATACACAAGCACCTCAAGAGCGCTACCAACCTGATTGCCACTTCTTCTTTCCAGCATTTCGGGGAAGCATGAAACTGCCATATCAACATCATCACCAAGGGAATACTTCTGAACCAAAGCAGACCATACAGGTGGATCCAACTTATGCCCTGATTTTTCCACACGAGCCAAATGTTTGTGCGCTGTTTCCAGATTCCCAGCATCACACATTGCAAGAACAGCTTTTCCATGTACAGTGCTGTCTGGTGCAAAACCACCGTGCTCCATGGCCTTCAACACCCTGCCACTCTCACCAAGCCTTTCTACGCTTCTCAGCGACTTGATAACAGCATCAAACACGGAAGACTTCACCTCATTCCCAGCCTTCTGATAGATCCGCACAACCCTCATCACCAGCTTCAGATCCATATCATCCCTCACAACAAGCTTCTTCAATAAGAACACAAAATCCTGAGCCGATGGCTTCTCCGTCCCACCCATTGCAAACCGGAACAAGTCTACTGCATCCTCAAACATCTTCCTCTTGAGAAACCTATCGATGAGAATAACGTACACCTCCTTATCCAGCCCAACCTCCTTACTGCTCATCTTCCGCAGGACCTCTCGGAACTCCTCAATAGAATCCTCCCGGCCAATGATCTTTGCCATTGCATTGTAAACCTTGCCCCAGTTGATCCCTGCCCCAGCTGACTGCTCCACCCAATTAAAGAACACCATTGCCTGTCGCGGAAACTGCCCAATCTTCTCCACAACCAGTGCCACCATCTCATCACTCACCTCAACGCCCAATTGATTCAGCTTGTCCAGCTTAGATAACTCATCGGCATCTGAGCGGAGAATCTTGCACGCCTCCGCCACCGCTGCGTTCCTGGAGTGCGCGGAGAAGGCCTTCTGGATCATGTCGGCGTCCTTGGACATGCCATTGGACCGGAAGCTCTCCGTGGCGGCCTGGAGGGTGGTCTTCGAGATGCCGTAGCCCCTGGAACGCATCGAGGAGACGAGTGACCAGAAATGGGCGGCGTCGCTGTTGGCGGCGGCGAGCTGGAGCATGGAGTTGAAGCACTTGGAGTTGAGGACGGCGGCGTCGTGGGATGCGGCCCAGGAGAAGAAGCGGGAGGCGGCAGGGTAGTTGGAGGCGAGGTCCGGGTGGACAAGGAGGGCGGGGATGGTGTTGGGGTGTGAGAGGTCGATGCCGGCTGACTGGATCGCGGTGGCGGGATCCGCCGGCAGGGACGGTTGGAAGAATATGGCAGCGACGGAGGAGCCGGACATGAGGCGATGGTGGGGGAGGAGGGAGGGGAGGCGGCATAGACGACCGCCGCCGGAGTTGAGGACGGTGCGGAGCATGGTGGTGGTGGTGGTGGCGGCGGCGGCGCAGGAGGAGGAGCGTTGGAACTGAAAATGAGGGTTTAGCCTGCTAGGGTTGGCCCGGTTGCTGTTTGGGCATTTGGAATGATGAAGAAGAAGCTCAATGGGCTTTGCCGAAAATTTTGTTTTTGTCATTCTAGATTTTGCCTACTTTACTGATGTCACTCTAGAATTTGACATATCATTTTTGCCACTCTTAGTTTTTAACAATACATCGCAAATGTCATTCGGTGACAAAAGAGATAACTTTTCATTTCATTTTTGCCACTCTTAAATTTTGACAATGTATCACAATTGCCACTCTAAAATTATTGGTTTTGTCATGAAATAGCAATTGTGATGTATTGTCAAAACTAAAAATAGCAAAAGTAAAATGTCAAATTATAGAATGGCATAAGCAAGGTGGTCAGAAGCTAGAGTGCAAAAATAAAGTTCATATTTTCCCTTTGTCAAGTACCATCCTTACTAGTACGTCTAAAAAATACCATTCTTATATTGCTCAGAAAGTAGATGTGGCTTCTCCCAAAAACAAGGGAAAAAAGATGTGTCCATCTCAAAAAAATAAAATAGACATGACTAGCTATTTCCCGACACTCCTTGAAGCATGGTATAGCCAAGAGCAGCTGGCTATGTGAAGTTGACATATCATTTATGATTAATCTAATAGCTCATCCGTACCATAGTTAATCATACTAGTATATTATTTTTTCCGTCCAGAAATACCTGCCTAGAAATGGTTGTATCTAGACTTATTTTAGTTAGAGATACATCCATTTTATCCATTTCTAGGACAAGTATTTTCGGACGGAGGGAGTATATCATTAATATGTGGCTATGTCATTCTCTCGCAAAGGTTGTTGGAATTTGTGCTACAGTTGGCTGTAAACTTGTAGCCCGCTTATCTTCTCTCATCTCTCCTCTAACTAGACACAAGTCTGATGTGGCATCTTTTATAGACCGCCTACGTCACTCTATTGTACTTGCTCTCTGTCGGTGTCAAAACCGGCCGATCTCGGGTAGGGGGTCCCAAACTGTGTGCTTGAGGATCGAAGGTAACAGGAGACAAAGGGGACACGATCTTTACCCAGGATCGGGCCCTCTTAATGGAGGTAAAACCCTACTTCATGTTTGATTGACTTTGATGAGTATAGGGGTTACAAGAGTTGATCTACCTCGAGATCGTAATGGCTAAACCCTAGCCGTCTAGCCAATGTGAATTCTGATAGCCTCTATGGACTAACCCCTCCGATTTATATATGTTGGGGAACATAGTAATTCAAAAAAATTCCCACGATCACGCAAGATCTATCTAGAAGATGCATAGCAACGAGACAGGAGAGTGTGTCCACGTAACTCGTAGACTGAAAGCGGAAGCGTTTACTAACACAGTTGATGTAGTCGAACGTCTTCACGATCCAACCGATCCAAGTACCGAACGTACGGCACCTTCGTGTTCAGCACACGTTCAGCACGATGACGTCCCTCGAGCTCTTGATCCAGTAGAGGGTCGAGGGAGAGTTCCATCAGCACGACGGTGTGGTGAGGGTGTTGGTGATGTGATCCGCCCAAGGCTTCGCCTAAGCACTATGACAATATGACCGAGGTGGTAAACTATGGAGGGGAGCACCGCACATGGCTGAGGAACAATTGATGTCCTTTGGGGTGCCCCCTGGCCACGTATATAAAGGAGGGGGAGGAGGAGGCCGGCAGCCAAGGAGGGCGCGCCAAGGGGGGAGTCCAACTAGGATTCCCTTTCCTATTCCAAGAGGGGGAAGGAGGGAAGGAGAGGGAGAGGGGACGGAAAGAGGGGGCCACGCCCCCTCCCCCTAGTCCAATTCGGACTGCCTTGGGGGGGCGCCACCTTGTGGCCTGCCCTCTCCTACTCTCTTATGGCCCATTAAGGCCCATAACTTCTTCGAGGGGTTTCGATAACCCCTCGATTCTCCGATAAATATCTGAAACGTCCTGAAACCTTTCCGGTGTCCGAATACCTTCGTCCAATATATCAATCTTTACCTCTCGACCATTTCGAGACTCCTCATCATGTCCATGATCTCATCCGGGACTCCGAACAAACTTCGGTCACCAAAACACATAACTCATAATACAAATCGACATCAAACGTTAAGCGTGCGGACCCTACGGGTTCGAGAACTATGTAGACATGATCGAGACACATCTCTGGTCAATAACCAATAGCGGAACCTAGATGCTCATATTGGCTCCTACATATTCTACAAGATCTTTATCGGTCAAACCGCATAACA